TGGTGTAAAGATACAAATTAAAATTTATTGACCATGCACAGTGACTCACACCTGTAATCGTAGCACTTTGGGAGGCTGAGGCAGGAGGATCACTTGAGTTCAGGAGTTCTGGACCAACCTGGGCAACACAGTGAGATATCATCTCTGCAAAATATTTAAAACTTAGCCAGCCGGTCACGGTGGCTCACACCTGTAATCCCAGTTCTTTGGGAGGCCAAGACAGGCAGATCGCCTGAGGTCAAGAGTTTGAGACCAGTCTGGCCAACATAGAGAAACCCCAACTCTACTAACAGTACAAAAAATTAGCCAGGTGTGGTGGTGGGCACCTGTAATCCCAGCTACTCAGGAGGCTGAGGCAGGAGAATCACTTGAACCTGGGAGGAGGAGGTTGCAGTGAGACAGATTGCACCACTGTACTCCAACCTAGGCAACAAGAACAAGACTCTGTCTAAAAAAAAAAAAAAAAAAAAAAAAAAGCCAAACATGGTGGCTCTCACCCGTAGTCCTAGTTAGCCAGGTGGCTGAGATGGGAGAATCATTTGAGCCCAGGAGGTTGATGCTGTGGTGAACTGTGACTGCACCGCTCCACTCCAGCCTGGGTGACAAAGTGAGACCCTATCTCAAAAACTAAAATAAAATAATATTTGTTAAAATGGCCCCACCAGATTTATGCAAGGTAGGTCATTGTCAAACACTAAGAGTTACTTAAGAGCACAAGATATTGGCCATAATAAACAGTTAATACATTGTTTGTGAAGACTAAATAATATATATTAAAGAATATACATATGTTAATGTTGAGTGCATTAGAGGCATTTAATTCTTCCATTGATTTCACAGATAGAGAAACTGAGGTCCAGAAAGGGGAAGAGACTTGCTCAGGCATAAGTTAACTTTTTTTTAATGACTCAGGGTTATCATGATTGCAAGTAATTCCTCAGTCTAATGGTTCTTTGCTTTCACTGTAATATTAATGAGACATGCTTCTTAAAAGAATGATTCACTAAGAGAAGGTCAGACTGACCAGCCACTTTCCAGGCTCACTGAAACCTTCCCACTCCAACCACAGTGAATTTATAACCACTCTGTGCTACAAGCCATTCACAATTGGTCCTGACCCAAGAGGAACCCTGCCCCAATCAGGATGGGATAAGTGAGTGCAGCCACTTGGGGCTGCCTTGTAATCTGCCACCACCACTGGGGTCTGCTGCCCTATCTAGGAACCACTCCTCTTCCCCTTCCTTCTCCATGGCCAAGTGGGAAAACTCAGGCTAAAAAGGATGACCCCAGAGATGAAAGAAGGAGAGGTTAATTTGGAACACAGGGATCATGAATTGCAATCTTTTATGCATCCTAGATTACAGCATTCCCTTGAATCTGAATTGGGTGGGGAAGTTGAAGAGGGAAGTCACTTTCTTCTGCAAATGCATTGCCTCTTTGTTCTGCTGTGGTATCATCAGAGATGGTGCTTTTCATAAATCTGGAAAGGAGAGAGCGAGCAAGACTTGAGTGTTTCCTGTAAAAAGAGTTTCAATTCCTCTCCAATAATCAGCCAAAGGCAATACCTGGACTAAGAACTCTCACCCCTGGGATGACCAAAGTACCTGAATCTAAACAGGTAGATTGAGCCTCTGGTTGGCTTCCCACTACTTTGGCAGGAAGGAATCAGGACTGATACAGCCCCAGGCAGGAACAAAGATTCCCTGCAATTTGAGCTACTGGTTTTGGTTGGGAGGATTGGAAGGCAGGGGCCAGGTAAAATGAGTCAAAAATTCTGAAGCATGAAGGAAGGCAGAAAGCAGGTGACACTATGATCTAGCAGTACTTTTCAAATTTTAAGTGTATAGAAATCACTGGGGAGCTGCTAAACTGTAAATTCTGATTCAGTGGGTCTGATTCAGGGGCCTAAGATTCTGGGTAGCTCACAGGTAGTGCTGATGCTGCTGGTCCACGGAGCAGTTAGGCTCCAGAGAACTGGTGCATCAGAGGCCCCTAATAGGAATTCTCTCCTGCAGAGTGGACTTTACATTTTTTGGCATTGAGGAAGGGTGCTCTCCTTTTGACCAAAGAAACTGGAAGGTAGGCCATTAGCAAGATCCTTCTGGTATTCTTGATCTTTGTAACAACCTGCTATAGCTAGCTGCAAGAGCAATTTTTTTCTTTTCTCCTCCTCCTCCTCCTCCTCCTCCTCCTCCTCCTCCTCCTCCTCCTCCTCCTCCTCCTCCTCCTTTCTCCTTCTTCTCTTCTTCCTTCTTCTTCTTCTTCTTCTTCTTCTTCTTCTTCTTCTTCTTCTTCTTCTTCTTCTTCTTCTTCTTCTTTTTTGACACAGAGTCTCACTCTGTCACCAGGCTGGAGTGCAGTGGTATGATCTCGACTCTCACTGCAACCTCACCTCCCAGGTTCAAGCGATTTGCCTCAGCCTCCGGAGTAGCTAGGAATACAGGCGCCCGCCACCACACCCAGCTAATTTTTGTATTTTTAGTAGAGACAGGGTTTCACCATGTTGGCCCCGATGGTCTCGATCTCTTGATCTCGTGATCCACCTGCCTCAGCCTCCCAAAGTGCTGAGATTACAGTCTTGAGCCACTGAGCTCAGCCAAGAGCACTTTTTTTTTTTTTTTTTTTTGAGACGGAGTTTCGCTCTTGTTACCCAGGCTGGAGTGCAATGGCGAGATCTCGGCTCACCGCTACCTCCACCTCCTGGGTTCAAGCAATTCTCCTGCCTCAGCCTCCTGAGTAGCTGGGATTACAGGCACGCGCCACCATGCCCAGCTAATTTTTTGTATTTTTAATAGAGACGGGGTTTCACCATGTTGACCAGGATGGTCTCCATCTCTTGACCTCGTGATCCACCCGCCTCGGCCTCCCAAAGTGCTGGGATTGCAGGCTTGAGCCACCGCGCCTGGCCTTGAGCATTTTTAATTAGACCAAATTATCTAGTTCAACTGTCCACAGAAATCAACGCCCCAGCTGAAATATCTGTTCATTTTGCTAGTGTAGAGATAGATGGCTTGTGTGCTGTGATTTTTAAGATTTTTAAACACTGCCTGTGGGCATATTTTATAGAGAAATAAACACACAGCCCAATGAGATGTATAGTGTGGTTTAATATATTGTATATTCACTTATTTATGGGGAAAATAAACACACAAGCCAATAAGCTGTGTATTATTACTTTAATATATTGAATTTATTTTATACCTATATATTTTATGAGGGAAAATAAACTAAGATACACGATATTATTATAACACATCTAATTGTTCTATATTAATTTATTTATGAGAGACATAAGTGCAATTTAACATGATGTAAGATTATTTAATACACGAGATGAATTCTGTATTAAGACAGTTTAAGGGATTAAGTTCCAGCTAAATAAGATGTGTGTACTTCCCATGCTGAGGGACCCATTTAAAAATATGCAAAGGGTCTGTCTAGTCCTCTGTGTCACAATCTATGTTGACTCCTGGCTTAACCTGACGATTGCTGCCTCTGGTACTGTAAATCCCGCTCCTGCTGGTCCAGGGGAAAGTCTGGGGGCCCCGGAAATAAACTGATTTTAGAGAAGAGCAGCATCTGCCGGAGAGATAGCCCCGCAGTGTCTGTTTCTGAGCGGGAGAAATATTGGATAAACCTAGGGAGGATGGATGGCTTTCCAGGGTCCTTTAAATCTCCACCTTCCCAGAACGAACCAGGAGGTGGGGAGATCGATCCTTGCTTCCCGCTTACCGGGTTTACAAGGAAGCAGGCAGGGTGCGGCGGGAGATAGACAGGACGTGGTGTTGATATGGAAAATGAAGTTGTTGGTCAAGACAGGTGGGTCTGCATCTAGAGAGAGCTCTGGCCTGGCTTCAAATCCCACAGCGAAGGATCGAAAGTGAGACTCGTTGAGGCACACCCGGGCCCGCAGACCCGCCGCTCTCCTTCCTTTCCCACAAACACCCGGACTCTTCTTCCATCTCGCGTCCTCAGCGTCCGTTGGGCTCACTTTAAAAATTAAAAAAATCAAACAAACAAACAAAAACGAAGGTGGGACTCCCAGGCGCCCCTTACTCCCCGGCGTCTGGAAGATCCGGCTGGGAGGACGCGGGGGCGGGGGCAGACCCCGCTGGTATGGCGCCTCCCGCAGCGGCTGTCATGGCGGCCGCAGCCTCTTCCCTCATCCCCCGCCAACTCCGCCGCCCGGCCCAGCGCCATTTTGAGCATCATCTTTGCTTCCCTGTCTCCCTCCCGCTCTCCTCGCTCCTCCTTCTCACCCTGCAGGCCCAATGCCTAGCGACGGTACCGGGCCTCCCTGGGCTTGTCGCCGGGCTGCTTCTCGTATGCTCCCCCAAACCCCAGCAGTCCCAGAGTGCATGGGTGTCCCGGCAGCGCCACATTTCTCAGCTGGCCACTTTTCTTGCCCACTGGAGGCCAGTTACCATCTCTGGGTGCGGGGCCCTGCTTCCCGAGAAAATCCCCGACCCCACTCCACTCCTTGGAGAGCCACCTACAGCTCCCAAAGAGCTCAAGCCCCAGGCTTCGTGTCCCTAGGCTTCTTGAGTTCAATAAAAGGCCCTACAGCGGCTTTGGTCCTAAGAAGCGATGAAGCCCCTGGGATCCTTCCCAATTCCAGGAAACTTCTGCGCCCCCGCTAGGACCCCGAAGCCTGTCCCCAGGCCTCCTCTCCTTGCACTGTCTTCTGTTCGCTGTACACCCGCCCATCTTTATTTCTAAGCAGAGGCCCCAAGACCACCCGCTTGAAACCAGAGGCCCTCTGTTGAGGTGCACGGAGGTGACTGAGCTTCCTGCAAACTCCTGACTCTGGCCGGAGCCATGGGCGAAGTGGCCATCCATCGGGTCACCTTTGTACCACCCGGACTTCGCCGGTCCAGGAGGCTTTGCTGCCAATAGACCGCTGAACCTAATCAGCTTCTCACAGGTCCTGGAGGAGTGAGGATGGGCCTTGGGGCCGGGAGGGGGAAAGGGGTTAGGTCCCAACAGAAACACTCGTTTTCGTATTATAAAGACATTTATTTAATCTATGAAAATAATGTACAATAAATACTTTCCCCTTTTCCTATTATTAAAGAATTTTAATAAATAATCTACAGTCTAAAACATAAAAAGAGGAAAATAGGTTCCTCTAGTTATTTTTAAGAAAGTCCCCCTAGAGTTTAATTATTCCTGAGATTTCATTGGAAGGAGTCTACCAAACGGAATTTTTGTTTGAATTTTAAAAGATGCCCGAGCGCCCAATATTTTAGAAGAAGAAGGGGAGTGGATTAAACGCTAATTCAGTAATACCTGAATTTTAACAAAACACAAAAGTCTATGCGACTGGGGGTGGGAGAGGCTCAATTTTTCCAGACTGCCAAGGAGCGCGGGGGTCGAAAGGGCCGGGAGGAGGAAACCGGTTAGGGAAACTGCAGGTCGATGGCACAGAGCGTGCTGGTGAAGAAGTCCAGATCTTCCTCTGTAAAGGGGACCGGGCTGTCGAGAGAACCCTGTAGGCTAGGGGAGAGGCCTCCGGACAGCTGGAGACAGGAGTCGGCCGCGAAGAAGTTGAGGTCGGGAAGGAAAGGCGAATCCTGGCGCTGTGTGAAGACGTCTTCTGGCAATGGCCCCGGCTCCTGGCCGCCCGACCCGCGCAGCACGCAGCCGGGGCTCGGCGCGCCCGTGCCCTCTAAGCGAGCGGCTAAAGGCCGGGGGTCCGCGGCGCTCAGGGTCCCCGGCACCACCTCCGGCGGGTGAGGACAGGCTTCCCGAGCCGTCCGCGAGGCGGAGGGGCCGCCCGGGCTGACCGCGGGCTCCTCAGCAGGGTCGCCAGTGTCCTCTAGGGCGCCGGGACAGGCAGGCTCCCCATCGGGCGGCTCTCGGTGCTGCGTCTGCCGCTTGTGCTTCATGCGCCGGTTCTGGAACCAGACTTTAACCTGCCTTTCGGTGAGGTCCAGCAAGGCCGCGATTTCGACGCGGCGTGGCCGGCACAGGTACTTATTAAAGTGAAATTCCTTCTCCAGTTCCAGCAGCTGAGTATTGGTGTAAGCCGTGCGCAGCCTGCGCGCCCCGCCGCCACCAGCCTCTGGCAGTCCCAGGCCATCTGTAGAAAAAACAGGCTGGGCGTCAGAGCGCGCCGTGTACTCAGCCCAACCTCAGCTAAGGACTACCCCATCCGCCAAAACCAGTATCACCTCTCCCTTTCCTCGCCACCCCACCCCCGCCCCCACCCCAAAGCGGCTCGCTTTCACTGCTTTTGGGTTCCCTTCTCTCCCTCACTAGTCGACAGCCCCGGCCCGGTTCAGGGCAAAGCATTCAGAGCCGCTCCCGGGCCAAGCATGGGGTGGAGAGCGGCTCCCTTTCCCGCCAGAACCTCAGATTCCGCCTCCTCAGCCCTCCCAGTGGACCCCTCAATTCGGAACTTTCCAACTCAACCGGAGCGAGGGTCATAAAGATTGTTTTTCACCCCTCTTCCTCCCTAGCTCTGAATTCTTCCTCTTCTCCTAGTGTTGGGGCAGAAAGGACCGAATCTTTTCCTGCTTTTAGAGGCAATCCCAGCAACACACTCATTCACCTACATAGATACAGGTGAAAACCTCAATAGAATCATTTTCTTTTAGCAGAGAAAAGACGTTTCCCCAACCAGCGTCCAAAATCAGCGCAGGAAGAGAAAAAAGACCCTGGCAGCGGCCAGGCCTGAACCCCAGCGAAGATTTTCCGCTTCCCGTCCCCAGCAGTAATGGACGGGGCACGGAACCCCAGCAGGCTCGCCACCTTTTTTTTTTTTTAACCTCCTCCTACTGCTGTTTCTCCCCCTCTTCTAGCTGCCCCCTCACCCCACCCCCACCACACTTACTGACCTGCAGGCGATCCGACCCGGGAGGCCGGGACCGCGGAGGCGGCCGGGGAAGGAGACGTGGCGAATTGGCTGGGTTTCTTGGCGGATTTCTTCTCTTTCATCCAAGGGAACTCGGGAGCTGGGGGGGCAGTGGGGAGCGGCAGCGGTGGCGGCGGCAGAGCAGGCCCATCTTCGGCTCGCTTTTGGCTCCTGGGTCTCTGAAGGGTGGAGGCGCCGGACTGGAGGCTGGGGAAGGTTTGCTCGAAAGGAGGAGGAGGAGGAATTAATGTCGACTCCTTGATTGATGAAGTTTGAAATGTCTCCAAGACAGCGGGGAAGGAAGTCAGACACTCGGCGAGCGACGGCTGGCTGTTTATAAACCCAATCTCCCTCTCAAATTCAAAATTCATGGCTTTCAATGGTGGGGGAGGGGGCTGCTGGGGGGGGCGTCAGGAGGGAGGATCGGAAGGGACCCCCCCTCCCGCCCCCCCCAGATTTATGTAATGGAGCGATTTTGGGAGGGGGAGATTTCGGTCTCTTTTTTTTTAAATTTTGGGCCTTTATAATTGTATATTGCTGATAAATACAAGCGTATGGGGACTCTCTCTATTAAACCCAGGACTCCGGCGAAATTACAGGGAATTCGTGGTCACGGGGCCGGCCTCCGCCAATCGCTCGGCTGGGCCTGGTGGAAAACAGAGAGCATTATTTGCTTTAATTGATTCAAAAACTCCAGAGGTCCACGACGTGGACACCATGAGCCCCATTCCTCCACCAGTGCCTCACACGCTCTCTCCCCAGTGCCTCCCTTTCTCCAGAAAAGCTAGGGGAACCTCTTTCTGAATCCTCCGGAGGTTAGGAGGTTTCGGAAGCCTGGAAAGGAAGAGAATCTAAGGGAGAAATCTTCCTCTTTTCTAACTATTTTCATAGAGTAAATTAAGGCTTTCTTTACATGGCCAGCAGCATCCTTTTCTCTTCTCCCCTTCCCCAAGATGAGTGAGGATCTCCCCGTTGGAGGAAGAGGGAGTTGAAAGAGGCTTCCACTCTGAAAAAGGTCAGTGTTAAGGTGCAAATAACAAAGAGATTTACAATCATCAGCACCACTATCCCCATGTCACCCTCCAAAAGCAACAGTTAAATCTTAGAAAACGGACAGGAACTCCCAGGCTGACACATGGAAGTGAGATGGAGCATGAGAGGCATTTTTGGGCCTCTAGCCTCCATAGCTGTGTGGCCTAGGTTCTTCTCTTCTCTGCCCAGTGTTTGCAGCACTGCCTCTGCCTCTTATGTCCCCCTGCTTTCCTCATTTTGAGGCATCCATGCTTCTTTGTGACACCCCCCCACCCAAAACAGGCAGAGTCTAAGATGGGCATGTACCCACTCCAGCCTCAAGCTTGTATCTGTATCCATATCCAGGGGCATAAACAAGAACTGAGGTAGCCACTGATTTAACTTAGAGCACTCTCAAAGTTCAGGTCAGCATATGTGTGTGCCTGGTGTGGTGGGGAGCTTTCCCCTAGGACAAAGAGACTTTCCCTCCCATTTTTGCCATTGTGCTAGTTAAAAAAAAAAATTCCTGACAAGGAAGAATTCCCTGAAGATGGTGGGAGTGGAAATAATGACCACTGAAATGATACTTCATTTCTGGCTCCTAGGGGAAAATGTTTTTAAATTGTATTTTGAGAAGACCAAGATAGTCTAAAGTTTACACTGTTGTAATTTACTATAGGGAGAGGGCACAAGAAACTGGGCCTCAAAAACAGAAAATGAAAAGTCGATCTGGGGGAAGATTTTTAAATACGTGGGTCAGAGGGACAGAGAGGAGATGAGGCGATCAATCTTAGCCCTCTGACAGCTCCCTCCTATTGCATCAAAGAATTTGGTTCTTTGGGAAAGCAAAGGGAACAGCCAAAATTTCACATCCCTTAAAAAGCCCTGGGGGTGGGGGTGGGGGTGCAAAAGAGAAAGGTGATTCTGGGAGAGCTGGGAAACAGATGGGAAATAGGGACAGAGGGAAGGCGCTAAGTTGGATGGAAAGTTTGCCTGGAGAACTCTCACGGCTCTGGCCTCCCCTCCCCCTCCTGTCTCTCTGCTGCCCAGCCAGGAAGAGAAGGCTGGTTAGCAAAGAAATGGCAACCGAGCCCGGAGCTGGAACTAGAAATTTTTCTGTCAATGTTGTATCTGCGTGGGTGGTGGTGAGTATTTTAAAAAGACCGGCAGAGAATTCTGAGTAGAATGAGGGTGGGGGAGAGGAGGATAGAGAAAGGGGAATTGGAGGTGGGGGCTGCAGGGACAGTGGGAGGCAGGAGCAGGAGGGCTCTGAACTGAGAGAGAGAGAGAGCTGCTGCAACCCGGGCAAAGTGGCCAGCGATAATAGTGTGCAACTCGGCTCCAAAGAAAACAATTTTTGCCGTTTGGAGGTGTGGATGGGGGTGGGCATGGAAGAATTCAAATAGTAGCTGTCGGGAAGTCATTCAGAGAGGCCTGAGAGAGGGTTCTCCCTGTGGCCACCCCTTGATCACCTCTGCGAGTTTAGCACCAACTTCTCCAGCTGGCTGAAGGATCGAGAGCTTATCTTGGGCGACTCGGGTAGAGACTGTCCCGGCAGGAAATACAGCTCTCTCTAACCCTCACTGACAGATTTTATGGCCAGATTAGCGAACGAAAACTTGGGTGTTAAAGGGGCCAAGAGAACCCTCCTTCTCAGAGACATCCCTCCTCCGCCCCCCTGTCCTGCTGTGAATTTTACAGCACGGATATTTTACCCAAGTCTTTGGCTGCTTTCGCTGAGCGCCTGGAATCTCCCAAAGAGAAGGATAGGGAACACCAAGCCAAGTTGCTTCTTATTTTTCTTGTTTTCAATTCCAGCTTCGAGCCAAAGCTCTGTTTTTCAAACTTAAGCTAAATTCTCTCTCTTGGCCTGTCTCTTTCCTGCTAGATAAATAAGCAACCTAACACAACCCCAGAGCCAAACATAGTGCTTCATCTAGTTATATCATTCAGAACATGTTATTCAGGGAAGACGAGAGAAAGAAAGAAAAACCCTTGAGCGTTATTTGATCCCAAACTTTGCACGCTCTTATGCCTTTAAATTATAGCCTGACCCAGTGCTAAATTGCTTGCTGCTTGGGTGAGCCGAGTCCAGTTAAAATCCTACTTGGTGGTGGGGAAGGGGGAGGGTGTAGAATTCAGGTTGCTTTTTTATTGTTATTTATTGTTGCATAAAGACTATAATTACTAACCTTGGACTGCCAGGATGCAACATAAAAATGAAAATCAGCCCTCGCTTTAAGGCAGGGCCTGGAACGATTCTCATTCCCCCCCACCCCCATCACTACCACCAAATATATGCTCCTAATTAAGCAATGCGGGCACATCGCTTACAATTAGAATTATGCAACTCTTCAGCAAGCAGCCATCGCTTCTCTTTCAACGAATTAGCTCCATATTTCAGCCGCCCTGTCTTCTCGCTCTTATCGGCTCCAGCGACTCGGCGGTGACATTTCATCTTTGACAGACCCTCTCTATTCTCACTCCAATGTGATAAAACTTTTATGGAACCACGACTAAGAAATGAAGTTTTCCCAAGGATGGTGGAAACAGAGCCGCACATTAGCCTGGGGACCATTTTATTTACGCTTGGATCCAACAGCTTCCACCCTCCTCTCCCCTTTCTCTGGCAGGGGAAATCAAACGTGCCTCCTCTCCCTCCGCCTTGAGTTTTATTTAGTGATTTAATTTTACTTAGTTCTAAAGTTTGACCTGAGAAGTCTAGGCCTCAGATTTTTTTTTTAGATTAATCATTTTTCTTTGTTTTCATTTTAGACCCAATGGTGGTTGGGCTTCGGGTCACGTGACAACTTCTTTGTAGCTCCGGAAGAGGACTGTGAAGTTTAGGTTTCGTGGAAGAAACCGTAATCGGCCAGATTTTCCTATTGGTAGTGGGAAGGGGTGAGGGGTGCATGGAGGTTGTGGCCAAAAGAGCTAACAGACGAAATGTCAATGAATGAAAAACCGGGAGGCACAGAGGCCAAACAGAAAAACCTACAGAGAGCACCAAAGAATCCCCCCTTACCTCCCAACTTATTACTTAAACCACAGCTAAAGAAGTTGGCAAAATGTTCCAGGCTCTTATGAGTGAGAAAGTGGTATTTAAATCTGATACATATCAAGGGGGAGATAGAAACCTGGGCAGTGGACAAAAAGGCCAGGGAAGGGTCTTCAGTGTCCTTCTTCTTCCCTTGGGGGAAATTTGGCAGTCAGCAGCCTTGCTCTGCTATCTAAATTGGACCAGCAGGACAAGATAAAATTGATAACACAAAGTTTATTCAAGAATTGTTTGACAGACAACCCTTTTAGGTAAGGAAAAAAGTAACTACCGAAGAACAAAGAAAGTTCCAAGAGGGAATTAACTCTAGTTCTACAAATTCAGGACTATACAGCGACAATTAGGAGCTGAGTTCATGCCTTTTAGAACTAATTACAATTGTTCATAAGTACGAGTTTAACATAAATCTACAGCTCTTTTCTAGAGTACAAGAATAACTAAAATAGCTGGTTTTACATGACAGGAAACACAACGTCCTTTATAACAAGTAAATACTAAAAAAGTACAATTTTTTTTTCAATTTTTCCCTCATATAAATACATAATGTAGGGGGATAAATAATACAAAAAAGAAAATATTTTAACAGGCTATAACCAATAAATATATATGAAAATGTTCACTAGAACACACACTTTTTTGAGCGATGCGGACTTCTGCAGGCCCAGACATCTCTCACAGTTGTTTTTATATCCATTAAAATGTAAACTCTAAGTGCAACAAAAGTGTCCTGTCAGGAGGCTGAGCAAGGCATACAGGCCCTGCAGCAGCCCCTGCCTGGGACAGTTTGTTCAAATATACCCTGTTTTCACGTTAAGTCAAGAGAGCAACAGAAGAAAAGAAAAGTGTAGAACCTCGTGTCACCAACTGCTTTCTGTGGAGAGAGGGGGATGGAGTTGGAGCTGAGATGGAGGCAGAATAGGCAAGCCTTCAGTCCTAACAACCTGCCTGCCCTGGCCTCCACACTTTTCCTTAAAAATATATATATAATTTATAATATGAGCAGCTCTTTCAGGATCTCTCACCATCCCTGAGCCCTCTAACAGCTGTAATTGATGAGGGTGGGATGTATAGACATGAATGTCTTAGAGCAGAAAAACCTGGGGCTGGAAATGAAGAGGGTAGGTACCTCAAAAAACCTCAAATAAATGGGAACAAATTTGAGGATGGGGGATAGTTGAAAGGGAACGTGCTTTGTGCCCTTTGGGTTTGAAATGTGTTTTCTTATTTTTTTTAAGGAGAATTGAGGAAAAAAAAATCAAGATTTCGGGGGAATTACCTACAAAGATGTAAGGTAAGTCCGTTGGGTGGTGATGGCCTAGCCATCTTGTCTGGTTTTTAAAATGTGCTTCTCTGCCTCGTCCTATCTCGTCTTCCTCTACCCCACTCCCGGGCGTGGAATTCCAGCTTGGTGCTGGAGCCCTGGGGTTGCTGGGGTCATCTCCAATCTGCTGTGGAATCCTTTCCGATGGGTTAGCAGGCAGATGGAACAAGGGGTGGAGGACTTAAAAGCAACCTCTCAGGCCAGGGGGAGGGGAAGGAGCTTCAGGCTGGTTCTGCCCAGGAAGCCTGGCTACCACCTCCCTGGCCTCTCTTTCAGACGTCCAGACTGCCCCCACAGAGCTCCACAGTCTCCCTCTTCCTCCCCATCCCCTAACCCTCGTCTGCCCTCTCCCATCACAGGTGTGTTAATTTGGGTGCTTCTTGGATTCTACCCTGAGGAGGAGGCGCATGGTGAGAGGAGAGGTCTGTGTAGGTAGGGTGGGGGTCGCAGGGTCCGTGGTGCTGGCTGGGGGCCATAGGGGGCGCCCCGTTGTAGTCCAGGTTCCCGGAAGGGTGATGGGAAAGGTGGTTGAGGCCATAGAGGGAGGGGCCGGCAGGGGGCGGCAGCGGATCTGCGTAGCCACCCCCGCCCACATACACCGGACTGCCCTGCATGGTGGGCGTCCCGTAGGCGCCCCCGTTGGCTTGGAGGATGTGCGGCTCATACTCGGGCGCCGGGGTCGGGGGGTACTTCTGCGGGGCGCCACAGCCTTTGAGAGGGGGCTGGTAGTTGGAGGGCAGCGCGTAGGCATTCTGGTGGGCTTTGCCGAAGGCGGGCGGGGAAGGACTCTCGTAGCTGGGGGTCATGGAGTGTAAGGCGTTCATGAAGCCGGCGGTGGACTGCATGGCCTGAGGGGGGCTGCCGGCGGGAGAGGGGCCCCCTGACGAGGAGGCCAGCCCCTTGGCCTTCTGGTCCTTCTTGTACTTCATGCGCCGGTTCTGGAACCAGATCTTGATCTGCCGCTCGCTGAGGTTCAGCAGGTTGGCCATCTCCACACGGCGAGGCCGGCACAGGTAGCGGTTGAAATGGAACTCCTTCTCCAGCTCCACCAGCTGCGCGCTCGTGTACGCCGTTCGCGCCCTCTTGGACGCCGCAGACCCCGGGGGGCTCTTGTCCCCTCCCGCGCCGCCGCTGCCGCCCCCGCCGCCACCACTGCCTCCGCCGCCGCTGCCGCCACCACCGCCGCCGCCGCCACCACAGCCCTCTGCTGGATCCGAGGGGGAGGGGTGGGAAGGGGAGAAAATGAAATAAAAGATAATTACTGAACACACCGAAATTGAATGCATCGTTTCTTAATAAATCCAGGCCTGGACTGGGAGCCCCCGCCGCCTCCCCTTCGCGTCCCCGCCTCCTCCTCACTCCCCCACCCCACCGCCCGTCGCATTAGCGGACACTCTATAATAGTGGCATTTATTAAGAGACCTGTTCTCTTTTCGCTGCCCCAGCTTATGAAAATTTGATCATGTCACGCAGACAGAGCCGCATAGCCATTTATTTAGGGCTGGATTTTCGCGTGCGTGCTTTCTCCCCCTATCCCCAAATACAGGTCCGGGAAAACATTTCCCCTCCTCGCCCACCCGGTCCTGAGGACAGGATGGGAGATTCAGGAGAACCCTCGTGGGCAGGACCCCGAAGTGTGGCACGAAGAGGCTGCTGCGCCTGGAGGCCGGGACCCCAGGCCGTCCGAGCGATTGTGATTAATACCCACTGCAATCATACTTAATAATAATCAATCTTTGACGACTCTGCATCCTCCCGGCAGCGCCTCTTCTTGGCTCTGTGGCCTTGGGAAGGGCTTTGAGGCCACGCACTGGGCCTTCTGGAGCTTTCAGAAGCTCCGGTGGAGGGCGGCCAGAGGGAGGAGGGTGTTGGCGGGGTCAGGGGTCATTACGGGCTAGGGGTATCAAAAATGTACCCGACAGCCACCTAATATTGTTCCCAGTCAGTCTCCTGGGCGCCTAGGGGCTGGGTGCTAGAATAACAGTGACATTCCTGGCTCGGACAAAAGCTGATGACAAGGAAGGTAGAGAACTGGTACCTGTGCCGGGGGAGCTGTTTTTCAGCTTGGACGTTTGCCTCGACTCTTTCATCCAAGGGAATATCTGTTTGGTGAGGGTGGAGTTGGTGCCGGGACCGCACTTGGGGGGACAACTTTTGCTGGTACCACCCCCATTATTGCTGTTGCTAGTGGCACTGGTAGGTGCGGCGCTGGGCGGGGGTGAGCCGGGCGGGGCGGGCAGGGCTCGGGGGCCAGGCCCGGCCTCATGCAGCTGCCGTTGAGCTCCTTGCTCTTGGCATGTGGGGCAGCGTTGCCCAGGGACTGCAGTGAGCACGCTGAGCGCTGGTAGTCGCCCTCCAGGTGTGTGGTGGCCTGAAATGGGGGTTGCGGGGGGCCGTCGAAGCCGAAGCCATTGCTGCCAGGGTAAGAGGAGTAGCCACCGAAGAGAGCAGCCGCAGTGTTGTCGTAGTAGGTGGCTTTCTGCATCGCTGGGTGAGGCCTGGGCAGTGGGTGGCAACTTGCAAAGGCCTGATACCCTCAGAACCGGACATTGGCAACCCTGGGGGTCACGTGACACGCCGGACCCCCCCCCCCCTCCCCTCTGTGCCCCCCTCCTCCGGGGTCTGTTCCAAACGGCTGACCTGCGGGGCGAGAGAAGAGACACAAGGGGGAGAAGAGGACTGGGGCTCGAATCCATCTTAGGAACTGAAAAGGGAACTGACAGCAATAGGGTTTTTTCTTCTCCCCTCCCCGACATCTCCAAAGCAGATGCTGAGGGCTTGTCCCCAACCTGAAATGGATTTGTCTTATTTTAACTCTTTAATTTTAAAGAAAAAAAAAGCCCACTCGTTTTCATTTTCACTAAAAGAAAAATAAATGAGGACTATATGCCTTTCAGGACTGCCTAGAGGTACAATGTACAGCAAAGGCTATTGCTTCTCTCCTGCCTGTGCACTAGCCCCTGACCTCCCCTGCTCCCTCTCTCCCTATCTCTCCTCCCCAACTCTGGGATAGGGTGGCTCAAGGGAGGAGACTGTTGGAGACTCCAAAATAAAAGCGTCATCAGCACCCTACTCTGAGCCCAGAGGCTTCTATGCTTCCAGCCTTTGCCTCCTTCCAAGTCGGTTTAGGTCTCTTGCCCAGGCAAAGTATAGCCTGAGGAAAACCAAAGGATCTCCTAAAAAGACAGGCAGGAGAAGCAAGTTCAGTAGAGAAGCTTCTTTGGTGAGGTGTCCTTTCCTCTTCACACTACTCCCCTACCAGGAGGACAACAGCCTGACCCAGAAACTTCCTGATGATTTTTAGCCTACAGAGCCAACTGAACTGAGATTCATCCATCCATGGCCCTGCTGCAGGTACTGCCACCTCCAGTCCCTGGCTTTGCTCAGCCAAGCCTGGGACCGGCAGCCAGTGGCCCCTTGGGGCCCCCAAATGGAGAGGACTGTTTCAATTTCCAGGGTCGGGCCAGTTGGTGCTGTGACCATTTGGCCCAGGTCTCTCCCCAAACCTCTTTTTTTTTTTTTCATGAGACTTAATTTTTCCCACCCTTTCCTTCACAGTCTGTTTTCTTTGATTTCTCGAAAAGAAAAGAAGAAACAAGAAGTTACAACTGCTGGACTTTTCTACTGAGATGGGGAAAGTACTTTCCCAAAGAGAAAATTATTCCTGAGGAAGAAAAATCAACAAAGCAATTTGAACAATATTATTCTCTGGGTTAGAAACAGAGGTATCCCTGTTGACTGAGGTTCCCTGAGGGGGAAAAAAATCACTATTTTAATACAGCCTTTTAAAAGTGTGCCAGAAAAACAAAGATTCAAACTAACAGGATTTTGTGTATTTGTTCTGAAACTTCTGACTGCATTTTTCCCCCTCTGTCTCTCTCAACTCTTCACCATCACTTTTCATAAAACCTCCATACTGCCATATGTGTTTGGAAAACATATCTTACTCAGCCCAGCTGGTCAACTCCAAAGAAAACTAAATATAGGAAAATAAAATAAAATAAAAGGGGTGCAGGTGAAGAAAGTCCCTTCCTCACATAAATCCCCTTCTTCATGGCGGAGATTTATAGTCAAAGGGAATCGGTGTAACTCTGAGTTCCGATTGGTTTCTGGAAACACACATGGGTCTAAAAAGCAGCAGGTCCTTTCAGGGAGAACCAGAGTTCAATTGACCAGGCTGACCCAATCCCTTTATTACTATTACCATTAGCCTCTGCTGATTTAACCAAAATTAGCTTCTGAGCGGCCCTGGCTGAAGGGGGAATTAATTAACAGGCATTAGTTGGGGTTGTTATTAATAGAGAAGAGAATGAAATAAAAACGTTGGAGGGGGTTGGCTGGCTGGGCCCTGGCTTTATTTAGTCTCAATGATTGTTACAGCAATAATAATGATGACGATGATGGTAGTAATAATAATAAAACAATAATTTGACTAGCCACCTGGGGCCGAAATTCCTGTCGCTCCCCTTGCAATAAACCCCAAACCGTCGCGGGACGGAGGCCAGGCGAGTGTTCAAAGCGAAGGAGCCAGAGACACGATAGGGAAGAATGGAGACTCCGCCGGTTGTGTAGACAGGGCCGGGAAGGTCTGTGCACCCGGGTAGTCCCTGGCTGCTGCTGCCAGGCTGCCTCGGCCGCTGCTGCCTCGGCGGCTGGCGACGAACTACCAGCCCCCTACGCAAAGAGCAAGCGATCAGGACACCAAATCGGTGATCGGCAGCAGGTTCCCAGCATACCAGCCGACCGAGGCTACCGCAGGCGGCAGTAAGTTTGGGCGCTGGAAGTAACCGAATTAAAAGGCGCCTTAGAAACTCCGCTTCGGGACTTTGCTCAGCAGGGCCCGGGCTCGAGGGCGCCGAGGCCTGGCGGACGGGACAGTGGGAAGAGGGAAAGGTGCCGGGGGTTTTCAAGATCAGGGATCCAGAACAAGACGGGGTGGGGAACAGCTCTACCAAGCCAAACAGATCTATTTCCCTTGCCTCCATGTTGGAAAAACTCAAGTTCCATATGGCTCCCTGGGAGGGAGGGAGGGAGACGGTGGCTGCCGGCTTCCCCCCAAGGGTCTCGGTGGAGAAGGGAGATGAGCCCCCCCAAGAATCTCATCTTGCCAGGCACACCCCAGGGAGAGCCAGGAGAGTAACAATAGCTGGGGAAGCCCCGAGAGAGAGAATAGGCCATCTTCCAATACTTAAAAAAAATAATGGAAGGAAGAAAAATAAAAGAACAAGAAAGAAAGAGAGTGAAGGTTGAGACTTTCTTAGCAACCGGGGAGAAAAATGCATCCCTGGATCTGGCTGCTGAAAGAAAAGAGAGGAGAAAAGAGGAGAGAGGCAGGGAGAGGGAGACAGGGAGAGAGAGAGAGAGAGAGAGAGAGAGAGAGAGAGAGAGAGAGACAGAGAGAGAGAGAGAGAGAGAGGGAGGGAGGGAGGGAGGGAGGGAGAGAGAGAGTCGCTGCGTGGAAGGAAGCTTAAAGCTTGTGAACTCTTCTTGAACCGAGATTGGAGTCATATGGGCCATAAATCATTGAGACATACTCTCCGCCATTCACAAACTGATAGCCTATTTCAGTCCAGCTTACCTTAGCCACCGACGAGGGGAGAACAGGCAGACATAATATATATTCACATCGAGCCCCAGCGCGAGCGGCAGGCGAGAAATCTCCCCTCCTTGAAGGCAAAGGAAAAAAAAGACCACTGTTTAAAGCTGCGTCGCCACCCCCCCCCCCACAAAGCCACCCCGGCTGGGGAGCCGGAGGGGCAGACCGGCCAGAGGAGCTGCTCGGCGTCCGCTTCAATTCACTCGGCTTAGGAGCAGGGGTGTGCAGGAGGAAGGGGGTGGGGGAGCGGGGAAAAAAAAAAAGAAGACCGAAAGGTGCCGGAGGCTCAGCTCGCCAGAATCCAGCTCCCGGCTCCAGCAGGGCTAAGCCGCCACAGTGTGGTTGCCCTATAAGACTGGTACGCCCTACTCTCTGTAACAATGGCCTCTGCTTTTGCACAGGGAAAAAAAAACCACACAGACACACACACACACTCACTCACACACAAGCTCACACACACACCCACCTCTCCCCTTTTAGCAAGCTTAGATGCCTGATAAGGAGGGAAGGTGATGGTGGTGATGGGGAAGGGGGGGACATTTTTTAATATCCCCCTCCCCAAAAGAAGAGTGAGAAGGAAAGAAGGGAGGGTTTCTTTTTAAAAAAACAGGTAAAAATTTAAATCTAGACTGGGGGGACAGGGAGGAAGAGGTGAGCAAAGGCAAGGAAGGGCGGTGAAGTTCACAGCTCCCCCCATACCCCACTAGTAAACCATTATGCTAATTTGAGAAGTAGCATTTGGAGGCTGAGTCCAAGGCAGGCCTTGCCCGGGGGCGAAGGGGTGGGGGTGCCAGGTGCCCCTCTGCGCTCATTTGGAATTGGAACGCCAGGACTTTTTTAGAAAGTAGTTTAGCTCCTCAGGGACCAGTGGCTGGGTCTCCAGCACTCGCACTCTGACTCCCTCCTTCTGAGTCTCCAGCCCCAGCTTCTTCCCTCCACTACACCCTCTCTGTTCCTTCCCAAATCTCCCCCTAATCTCCAAGCCCAGTCTCTAACCAAGGGAGAGGGAAAGACCAGATCTTTTTTTAAAAACACCCCTCCCCCCTGTTCTTTTTGAGAACAGACAACAAGCGGTGAGTGATTTTTAAAACCCAGAACATCTTGCAGGGGGAGGAGGGTTGAGAAAAGGGTAACAAAAGGAGGACCCTGTGTTTTAGCTTGAGCTCCAGACTGGCGGGCAGTAGAGGGGCTGAAAGAACTTCACGGAGAAGTTTCTCTTATGATTCTCACCTCTGGATAGGCAGACGGGGCTAAGAGGTGATAAGGACATTTGTACTTCTAAGAAGGGAAGAACTAGCAGGGTGGCTTAATTTTAAATGCCCTGGCAGAAGAGTTTGGAAGATGGTTATTATAATGATTCAGAACAACCCTGTTTGTTTCTCTCTGCTCTGCAAGATTTATGACTCTTGGCACAAGTGAGGAAGGCCACAAAAGCTAAAGTTTTCTTAGGGTGAGTTTGAGCAGGGCAGGAAAAGGCAAGGAGGAGGCCTGTAGGAGGAAGACAGGAGCCAAAAATGTAGGTCTCTGCAGATTTGGGACAGGGGGTGGGGAATAGTCACTCCGGGAGGAAGAAAAAGACAAAAAGAGCACCAGGACATTTCCCAAAGCAGGAGTGTTTGCGACTCTGCCTAACTGCTGACTCGGAGCTAGGGGATGAAATAGAAAGCAGACTCTTGTCTCTAAAAGCAGCTTGGAAAACTGGTTCTCTAAACTTTGTGTAAGGCAATACTCTGTGATTTCCTGGTTAGAATACTTGGCTTTTGCCTTCTCCCATCTGGATGCACCAGGAGATGGAATGGGACTGGGGAAATCAAAGGTGAGAGATTATTTCCAGCTATTGTGTCCCCTCCAGGATAGGATGGCAGTGTCAGGCAAAGCTTCCCTCATTCCTCTCACTCCCCATTCACAGGCTCTACTTTGGGATGAGAAAGGGAGTGGCCCCCGGCCTCCAGCCCCCACTTCTTCCAGGCAAGGCTAAGTCAGGCCAGGTGAGTTGGAGCAGCCGTTTTCTGGGGGCTCTGATAAACTGGGGGTACCTGTGGCCTTCTTGTCCTCCGGCAACAGGAGCCACATGCAGAGCCTCAGAATGTAATGTCCTGAGGACCCCACCTCCTGCCTAGAAAGTTGGTGGCTGGGGGAAGCACGGGTTGGGGGAGGTGGGAGGTGAGGATGGAGGGTGGAAGCTATTTTCTGTGTTTATTAGTTTTCAAGAAAAGAAAATGTCCAAGCCAGACCTTGACTTGGGGCTCAAGCCAGCCCGGACCTCCAAAGAGACCTGTTAGGGCTGCCTGAGTATGTAACTGCAAAAGGTCTGTCCTGAGATCTCTACACTCTGGTTAGAGACCTATAGGGTCGGACCCAAGTAACTTTGAGCCTGGTGGGTCGAGGACTTGGGCCAGGGAGGCTTCCAGAGGCTTTAAAGGAACCAGCACCTTTGGGATTTTTTCTCTCACTCCCCAAAATAAAATAAAAGCCAAGAATGTACCTCACATCCTCTGCTGTCATAGCTGTTAATATCATTGGGTTAGAGAAGGTCACTGTAAAACTGAGAGAAGAGGAGAACCTGATCGCTTTTGGGACTGCACAGCTTTGCCTCTAGGAATAATACGAGAGCCCAGAAGGCACCCAGCGAGCCTCGGACCGGCTGCAGGAGAAGCGGACATGGAGCTGAGCTGGAGGTGGAGGAGTTCCAGAGACAACAGCAGATCCCTCCCCTCCCCAAGCCTCCTCAACCCTTTGTGGTCCCTCTGGCTACAGAAGGCAGTGGGGCATAATGGGGTGGGAGTGAAAAGGAGGACCGAGAAGCAAGAAAACGAACCTGGAGAAAATCTCAGAGGATATGCACCCCCAAATGCGGTAGGAGATGGAGTGGGGGCTTCTTAATTCTGGAGTACAGAGCCCATTTGGAATGCTTGGGAGGCAATTAGATCCCAGTTTGGTTTCTTTCTTGCCTTTTTTTATTCCTCTTTCGGAGGTCTCTGGCAAGCAAGCTGCCCCCTGATTAGGGCTGGAAGCATGGAAGATGGAGGGTATGACAGGCACCCCTGAGGGGCCCAGGTTTGACTGAGGTGCTGCTGCTGGCCAGGGGCTTTTCAAACTTCAGGGAACAAAGGCTGGTAGTGAGGAGTTTGGGCAGGGAACGTGGGGAGGGAAGACTTTGGGGTCTGGGAAAAGAGAAGCAGGAGAAAGGCTTATCATCCCTGATGGTGAAGTCGTGATTTAGGAGCAAACTAGAGATACAGAAGAAGGAATAATTTCTTCTTGGATTCGGGAGGGAAACCTGGGAAAATGTGTGTGTGTGCCAACATGTGTGGGGTGTGCGTGTGTGTAAGAGAGAGAGAAAGGAGGAGAAAGAAAAACTGAAAAAGCGGAAAATTGAGTAAGAGAAAGAGATACTAACATAAACTAATAAAGTCAAAATAGTAATAAGGATAGAGATTAGAGAGAACGTTCCTCTTCACAGACATCCTTTCCTCTTCCATTCCATTTCTTCAGAGCCAGAGCACTTGCCCTGGCACCTCTCTTCCCCACCCCACCGGGTACCCAGTATCAGGGGATGGGATCATTTAAACCCCCTTGAGCAACCAAGGGCTGCCCACCCATCTAGATTCCATGGGATCGTGCCTGTTTCTCTCCTCCTCCAAAAATGCATCAACTAGCAAACAAAAATTCTCTCAATAAGAGCAAACTGACTGGCGCTTTCAAAACCGATTTCTGATCTTAGACTTGGGGCAGTCAAAGATCCTGCCCCTGGCTCAATCAACACAAAGTTCGCCTGGCCCACCAGCTAGCTGGGGAGCTGGGATCTGGGAGCCTGAAGCGAGGTGTTTGGCGATGTGCTTCTTCCTGGCCCTGTCTGGGTTCCCGGTCCCACACTGTTTTCCAGCTTCACTGCCCAACTTTGTAGCCCTGGCAGAGTGGCGTTAAGTTCACACTCACCCGAATCTCCATCTTCCAAGTATTAATAAGGATTTCAAAGCTGGGGGTTGTAAAGTGGGAATTGCTAATGAAGAAAGCTCTTGGCATTCGGATCCCTATTCCCAGTTCTCCAATAAGCCAGAGAGGGAGGGAACAAAGAGACACCGGGAAGGGAGAAGAGAAGGCCCACTTAGACCCTGCTCAGCAACAGTGGGGATCAAAAGAAGAAAAAGGTCGCTGCAGTGGAAGAAGAAAAATCCAAGCTGTACTTTTTCCCCATCCCATGTCTGGGGGCGCTGCCCTCTCCCCAGCAGAGCCCGTGAAGGGGTGGCGGGACAAAAAGATCAGCCACAAGGGTCTGCAAAGTCCACTCGATGACGTGGAGGCTGCCTTCACACGCTAATGAGAGGATGGCGGTGCTGCCAGCGAAGTCCAAAGCCTCAGGCAGGTGGGCTCTTTGGTGGTGATAGATCCCTATCGGAGTCAGGGCTCCTGCCTCATCTAGCAACTCAGCCTTAGCCTGGCGAACCCCACCCCCAGCAAGTGTTGAGACAAAGGTGGGCAGAGCAGAGAAGGCAGAGGAAGGGAGGTTGCGAATCCTGGGCAGCTTAGGGACTGCAGGGGGTGCTGGGGAAGGGAGGGAGAAACAGGAAAAGAGGAATGGGCCCAGTCCCCAAGGCTGAGTGGGCCTCTCCTGACAGATTGTATGTTTCTCGCCCAGTGACCTCTGTTTAGCAGACAATAACTCACTGGATTAATGACCAATCAGCGAAAGGTCTTCCGAATTGTCTCCAAATATAAAACTCCGAAGTCAGAATGGGACAGGGCCAGAGTCTGGGCCTGCCAGCCCTTTTGTTTTTTTCTCCTCAAAATAGGGTTTGGAGCTAGGCTTTAGGAAGTGGATTATCTGCACAGAGTCTGAGATTTCCCATCCCATCTCCTTCTTCTCTCCTCCCCCAGAATTCATATTCCAAGCCACACTTCCCAAGGCAGTCTGGAAACCTCTCCTCCCCTGCTAGCCTCCTCACATCCCTGACCCTACAAGAAATTTCCTTGCTTACAACCATGCAACTGAGAAGCCACCACTCCTTTGGAATTGGGAGAGGAGCTGGAAAATAAAAGCAAATATAGAGTGGGGGTTTTCCCCCTTGCAGAACTTCTGTCCTGGCTGCCCCAGAGGAGGTCTGGCAGAGTGCTGTGCCTCCTGTGTGTGCCTCCTCCCAAGAAGCGAGGGCCCAAAGGCCCAGGGTTGGGGTGAGGTTGAGAAGGGGGGCACCTGCTGTCACAGAATCCAAATTCTGAAACCACTGCTCAGTCCCTGGGCTGGAGTAGGGGACACCTTAAAAACCACACTCTGAGGGGAGGCCGAGGTGGTCGGATCATCTGAGGTCGGGAGTTGGAGACCAGCCTGACCAACGTGGAGAAACCCTGTCTCTACTAAAAATACAAAATTAGCTGGGTGTGGTGGCACATGCCTGTAATCCCAGCTACTGGGGAGGCTGAAGAAGGAGAACTGCTTGAACCCAGGAGGCAGAGGTTGCGGGTTGCAGGGAGCTGAAATTGCGCCATTGCACTTCAGTCTAGGCAACAAGAATGAAACTTCGTCTCAAAAAAAAAAAAAAAAAAAAGCACTTTGAACAAAGATACCCTTAGCCCAGTGCCTGGCAGGGAAAGGGTCTCGTTGCTCAGTGAGGCCTAGCCCTTATTTCCTTAGCCCCTCTCCAAATACCAGTCTCAACCCAACCCAGCTAGGTAGCCCCTCTCCACTGCATTCTAGTTCCACTGCTCTCCTCAGGGCTACTACTCAGCAAGAATAAGGGCACCTTCAGAAAGAGGAATAGTCCAGATTCCAGGGGATTTTCTAGAGCCAGACTGAGTAAGCATCCACTGCTCTAGGTATATGTAAACTCTGAATACTGCAAATAAACATGCAGTAACTTCTATAACCAGATGCCTGCAGAGCACCAGGACACACAAGGGAGTGCCTCCCATGCACTGTCCTGCAGAAGATGGCTACACATAGAGGTGCCCAATTGTAGAACTGGGGAGAATTCAGGAATTATCTAGTCCAACTTGTTACGGATAAAGAAACTGAGGCCCAGAGCAAGGAGGTGATTTGGCTAGAGTCATACTTGGGATAGGCTTGGGAGTCAGAAGGCTTGAATTTTAGATGTTCCAGCTTGATTGTGTGACATGAAGCAGAGCACTCTTTGGGCCTCAATGTCCCCTTCTGTAAAGCCCGGGCATATGTATGGAGGGAAAGGGTTTAGCTAAATGATCTTTAAAGTCTCTTTTTGGACTGAATGTTAGTGATTCTCCATGTGCTAATATAAAAGTGAGTGACAATAAGAAGTAATAAACTGAGTTCTGATAATAACAGGCACCATTGTGACCAGATTTGAAGTATTTCTTCTTGGGGTTTTAAATGCTTACCACCTCTGAGCACCAACCCAGTGCCTAGCCCTCCTTTGCCCTATAGAGGCTCACGCACTGGGTTTTACTGCTCTTCTGTATGTGGGGTGGGTTGTTTTCTATCCTCATCACCAAACCCAAAGTGCTATTTTTAGACACTGCAACTTGAGCAGTAAATAATTAATTTGTATAATTAAAGGAGGAAGCTTTCAACCTGGCAATTTTTAACCAGGCATCAATGCGCCCATTGTACCAGCCGAGCCTTCTCACCCGACCCCCACCCTCTGCCCACACACCTACCAGCCTCCCCAGTTGCCTCCCCCTCAGTTGGAGACCAGCATTCCCCAGATGGCCAGCAGGGTCCACAGGACCAGACTGTGTCCCTCACAAAAAAGTTCCACGCTTTGCTCTGCTTCCCCATAGAAATAGGTCTGCCAGCAGCTGCACCTCAAGCCTGCTTTCCCTACCCCCAAAGCTGTGCTGGGCTCCAGGTCTCTGCTCTCTGCTCTTGGGAAACATGTAATCTACCTCCCTAGCTCAAGATGCCCCAACAATGCAGCGAGTTTGCATTTCAAGAAACTCCCATTAATATCAATTTACTTCACTGAAACCTTGGGTTCTTCATCAAGTTGATGATTTATGATAAAATCAATTAAATTACGGCCACTTAGGGCCCAGCCGCTTCCTCTCAGATTTCATTGGTGTGGGGCCCAAGTGTCTGGTGGAAAAATGCAAGTTTAGCTGGAGGCGAGGAAAGATAATTCTGCGGCTGAGAAAATTTAATGCAAAACAATTTCCAGGCAAAGCTGGGCGTCTGGACAGAAATGCAAGAGCTACTAGTTGGCCTGCGGAAATTACTATCTAGGGTCGAAATGTTTTTCTCCCCACCCCCATCATCCTGCATGGCTCCCTTACTCTGTTTGTCTTTATATTCACTTGCTCCCCACTCCCAAGCAGAGATTTGGGGGGAATTTGAGCAGTAAAGGTGGGACACCAGGCTGCCAAGACCCAGCCTCAAACCACGGATCTTCCCAATCTTCCCTTTCCTCCTAAGCCTTTCCTTATTTTGCCCTCCCCTCCTCACCCAACCATGCTCACTAATTCCTTGGCTTTCTATCACAAAGTTAAAAATTCAAAGTGAAGATGAGGCTGGGTGGGCAGAAGGCACCGGAGGCATACAGGAAAGGGCAGAGGGGTGGGGGCCAGGAGGCCAGGCCAAGTGGGCTCTGCTGCATGTGGCTGTGGGAAGGAAAAAAGCAGGAAAGAGCACTACTTCATGGACAGGACCAGGGGCAATGTGTCTAGAGCTACTCCATCCCAGAGTTCCAGAACCAGAGAACATGGGTTCTCTCTCCTGGCTCCCAATCTCCCAGCTCACAAAGTGGTTCTGCAAACCCATCCGAAAAGCTCCAGCTGGAGTACATGCAGCTCCCAATGTGCAGATGCACTCACACAATTCACAAACATACCTACACATGTGTCTGCTTACACGCTCCCTTTGCACACACCCACCACACCGTGCGCCTGCAAAGGGACAGTTCCCGCTATCCTCCCTCATCTGGGAAAATAAATCCCAGTGCATCCAGCTGGCATCGCCTCCTGCTCCAAGGACAGGAGTTTCTCTGGCCTCTACTCTGTTTGGTTTTTGGTTTCCAGAGCAGGCAGGAGTAAACACAACTTCTCCGAAGTCATAAATCACCCCCTTTCCTACCTTCTGGGCTTAACACTCAGCCTCAGTGCAATCCCTTGTAGTTTTGGCTTCAAATAACCCGCTAGGTGCTAAAGAGCTGGGCCATGGTGGCAGCTGGGTTGTGGAAGCTGACCCAGTCAACACCCCTTAACCCCACTGCCCCTAGCAGACGCCCCTCACATTTCCCTCAATGCCCACAGCTCCCAACTGCCCTGGAAAACCTTCCAGAGGCTCAACACCCTTCCTGAGCAGAGAGCTCTCCCATCCCCTAACCCGATCCTGTCCACATGCCCACCCAAACAGCTCCACATTCCTCTACACTCATCCTCCACCCCAGGTCCCTCTACCCACTCGAAGGCCCCACCCTACCTCTCAGAGTTGCTCTCATCTTTGTCTTCCATTCGGATCCCGGCCTGTCCCGGGAGAGAGGCCTGGGGGCGAGGGTCTCAGCCAACCATCTCTACACCTCCTCCAGGCCCCTAGTGCCCTGCCTCCGCACCCCACACTTACCTGTGCTGTCTTCCGCTAGGGCGCGGGCAGCTGCAGGCGACCGGTCGCGGAGTGCGCACGGGGGCCGACTGCCAGGCCCCGGACCCTCGGCCCCGGCTGGGGCTCCGCTGCGGCCGGCCGCATCCCGGTCACTCAACCCCCAGCAGGCCCCTGGGGGAGAGGCCCGGATGCGCTCACCCCCACACCGCCCCCGCCCCCGCCCCCGCCCCCGGCTTTGTTCGGCCTCCGGGGCCCCAGGAGCGCGAGGATCTGGCACTCCAGCGTGGCCGGCACCCCTTTCCTGAGAAGCTCCCACTACGCCCGGGCCGCGCAAAGCTGTGGGAAACCCAGGCTCGTCTGGCACCGAACTGGGCTCGGGCTTTGAGAACAGGCCAAGTTGCCAGGCGAGAGGAGCAGCGACTGACAGGGCACGGCGAGGCGCGGGGAGCGCTGGGGGCGCCATGGCGGAAGGCGGGCACACCGGCGGCTCTTCAATGTCACCAGCGAAATGGGTTCCATATGTCCGGCCCAGCGGAGAAGGGAGGGGAAGGGAAAGTTCTGGGCAGGACAGGAGCGCTGGGACAGGGAGGGGGGCAATGGAGGCAGCAGAGCAATGGCAAGGGGGCAAAGGAAAGGATCAGAGGGGCTAGAAAGGTTTGCAGCTCCTCTTTTCCCTCAAGTTTTCTAAAGCTGCCTAGGCTTGTAGGAGCTTTCTTTCCCCTTTTCCTTTTCTTGTTCTTTCCTGTAAGATGGGGAGTTAGGAGATTAGTAGGGGAAGCATCCGCTTGTTAAGGCTGGGAGTTTGAGGGAGGAGATGTGGATTGGAGATAAAAGTTCTTAAGCGGCAAGATCAACAACTTCCCCAGATTCCCGAGAAAGAAGAGACCAAACCCACAAGGGGGAAGAAAAGCCAAGAAAGGATTCCAGGGTCCAGGTGTGAAAGACTGGTCCTAATTCCTCCCACCCCCATGATGACATTCTGTTTGGGAGGTCCCAATGGTTAAATTACTGATGCTAGTGATGGTGGTAGATGCTGAAGTGTCCTGGACATCTTGGCCATTCCCTGGCACTTCAGCTCCTGCCACAGATGTCTCACACCTGATTTAGCACCCCCAAGGGCCTACTCTAGAGGGAGTTGCTTCTGAGATAGCCTGGGCTTTGGGCAACTTCCTGTAAAGAAGGCTACTAGAGAGCAGGGAGCCTGGAGGAGTTTCCCTCTGTGCCTGCTCCCCAAGGGGTTTGGGCTCCTTTTCTGTGTTTGGGTCTCTCTGTCTTTTTCTGATCATCTCTGTTGTCTTGGTTCCTTTCTCACAGCCCCTCGGTCTTTTTCACATGCTGCCCCTCTCAGGGTCTTCAGTGAATTTGAATTCAGACTTGCAAAGGATTTAGGATTGTCTCCAGAAATCACTTCTGGGGTCACTCATTAGGCTGCGTTTCTCCTTCCCTTTCCTCTGTGGGGGAACCACCGTCTGCCCAGAGAAATTCTCTTCTAGAGAGAAAGGGGGAAAGGGGTGGTTTCCTTCCCACTTCCCTTCTTCTCACTTAACTCTGTGTGCCTCTCTTTGTGAGTTGCAGGGCTCCTTCCTCCAGGACAGCCTCCCTTCCCCTCTGACTGGCCTTTGTTTCCACTCTCCCAGTCATCCCCTCCTTGGGCTCAGCCTTGACTCCTCACCCCAGAAAGGGATTCTGCCCCTTGTTCTCTCTCTGGGTCCCTCTCTTCTTCCTCTCACTCTTCATGTTTCTATCCAATTCTGCTGGTCACTAAAGTGTTAGCAGCCTGGCTTCTTTAAGGCACAGAGATAAACACTGAAATTATAGAGAGAGGATAACAGCAGAGAGTTAGGGCAGAAGACAGAGTCAGCAGCTTTTCTGGAGCTCTGCCCCCAAGTGCGTTCTACCTTAACTCCTGAACAACAAAAAAGCAAATCAGTGGAGGGTGCAGGACTGGTAAGGCAGGGTGCTTCATAGCTAAAAGAACCAAATGTATATATAAACAACAACAAAGTCCTTTCAAACTTGCTGATTTGGGGTAGGTCTAAAATGCCTGGATGGAAGGCATCAGGCAACACATAGGGGATTTACCAGATAATGGTGGCAAAGGATGGTCCCCTTGCTTTGTCTCCTGGTGAAGAGTCTGTGCGTGTTGGGGAAAGGGAGGGGGAGGGGTATCAGTGTCACCTCCCCTCCTCTGGGCCAGAGGAGACAAAGACCTGAAGGGGGCTGAAAGAATAAAGAGAAAAAGCTGGTGGTAGTGGTGGTTGGGGCTGGGCGGGGAGGTCGGTCAGACTGTCACAGGCAAAAGTAGCAGCCGGAGGGGAGATGGAAAAGGGTTAGGGAGGAAGAGTTGCAAATGCAGGGGGCTAGGGGCCTTTGGGACTGGCTCTCCATACTAGTTATGGGCTGGCCCAAAGAGCAGATCCTTCTCTTCCCCATCTTGCTAAGCATGCTGAATTCAGAAGCTAATACAAATGATTCTATCCTCTTCCTTCTCTCTCATGTCCCTCCTCCTCCCCATGGAAGAGATGATCTTTCTCTGCTCTCTCATAGACTCCAAGACTTTGGCCTAATTCTGGAGCAGCAGTCTGGGGGAGAACTCACCCTCTTCACAGTTACACCACCACACACTTTCCAGGTGAGGGAGAAGTAGAAATGCTTACCTCCCACACTGAGTGTGTGTGGGATTCTCCAACACTCAAAGAGTGGTTGGGGAATGGGACTGAAAGGTTTGGAACCCCTATGCCCCAGGTCTCTTTGCTGCCTCTGTCAGCCCTTCGCACCTCCTCACAATGTCCAGTGCTGTCAGAGCTGCCCCTGAATCCAGACTTTCCCCAGTTCATTGTATCCAGGTCATACAGTGCTCATACCCATCCCAGCCTTGGGTCTTGGCCTTCTCCTTCTCTTTCTCCACAAACCCTTTTCAACCGAGGCTCCCGAATTGGGAGACTTCACCCACCACCACTGAGAATCAATTCCTTGTTAACTTAGATGAAACTCGGTGTCCACTTGGAGCAGAGCGTGGGAGCAAGTTCCTGGATGCTGCAAGGACTGGGGCCTAAGCTGCCACTCCATGTAGCGGATGCCATGAATAATTAACACCTAGGCGCGGCATTGCTCTAACTTCCCTGTTCAAAGGTTTACACTAGCAGGCAGAGTTAAATATCACAGATAATCGTGGCTATAAAGTCAATTGGCCTGGCTCCAGTCAGGGAATGAGCGGCCGGCCAGCAGCCTGGACTGGAGTTGGCTAAGGCTCTGGCCCTCTGCACCTCGTTCATCACAACTTTGGGGCACAGTGCAGAAACATCCCCCGAAGCCACCTCTAGCTTTGCTCTTGACCAGCAGCCTCTTCCCTAGTGGGAAGGAACCTCCACATGAAACTATAGGGGAAAGTTACCAGCTCTTCCCCTCCCTCTCCAATCTGTACCCCGTTTTCTCCCTTTTGAATGAGGACTTACATAAAGGAACACACCTGATGTCCTCTAACACTCTCTAACTTTCTAAGACCACCTGCTTTCTAGAACATTTCTTTTCTAGAAAAACTTAGGAGAACTTCTCCCCACTTTAGCCCCAAAGACAGAGTCCCTCACTGTTGAGGAAACTTTTGTTTCGGAGGTCGAGGTCGAAGGAAGGCTCCTGTGGTGTGAACTCATTTCCTTGTTTTGTTAGCCAGGAGGGTGGGGAGCCAAAGCTTTCTGCTTCACTCCCTGCCCTTCACCCTCTGCTTGCCTCCATTGTCTCCCCCAATTGGGGTAACTCCTCTTCCACCTTCAGTCACCCCCCAGACACATCAGTCCTATACATTAAGCTTTAATAATGTAACGAAGCCCCTCACATCCCTTTCCAGTTGCACAGAACTTCGATGTGGTCTCCATTGATTATAAAAATCTTTGCCTTCAACTCCAGTAATTTCTTCCTCCATTTCTACCTTTCTTACTCTATGGCTCCTTCTGCCTTCAGAGTTGGGTTTGTTCACCCAGGGCTGGAGTTGGAGAAGCCAAACTCCTGGAGGGGAACTGCTAAAAATGAAGCTCTGTCTGCTGCTGCAGGAATGTTGGCTCTATCAGGCTCACAAATACAATTTTTATATTAGGCAGTGGTCTTTGACTGGGTTTATATGCCAACGAGGCATTTCTGCTTTACCAAATTTATACAAATCTTGCTTTAATTGATAATCACATATGCTGTAATTTAAGACCTCCAGCTATAGAGCTTTCATATTAACTGCTGATATATTACTGTAAATCGTCTGAAATAACCAACTCCTGGGAGCAGAGCAGAGAGGGAGGAAGTACCTCCGAGAGCGACTCTCTCCCAGCCGGCCGCAGAAACAGCCCAGCTTCCACATCATTTTCAGTGAGAAATGATTTATCGAAGACATGGCCATAAACAACACAACTCGCTCACAAACACATGCAGACGTGCGCACACACACGCGTGCGCGTTCGCACACACACACGCACACACACAATGGCTGGCATGCCGGTCGAGAAGCTGACACCCATATTGCTATAAATCAAGAAAAGGTTGGAGGAGAGAGAGAGGATGAGAGAGAGAGGGAGAGAGAGAGAAGAAGAATATTCCTAAAATCTCTATGCAATGCCTCAATGGGTATAAACACACAGAACACCATGTGAAGAGAAATGGCAGGAAATGAAGATGGCTATTTGTCACATTTTACGACAATAACATTAATAACAAACAATAAATTTACATGGACATATAAGACGCGGTAGGTAGTGAGAAATCCCTTCTACTTACAATACCCCAGCCCGCGGTGTGGCTCCGGCTGCGGGGCTGTTTTATTGCTGCCTCCCTTTCTTTTTCTCTCTCTCTCCCTCTCTCTCTCTCTCCCCCTCTCTCTTTTTTTTTCTCGGGGTACAGGCTTGTTTTTCAAAGGACAGTTGAATTGCACGTCAGAAACAGGGAGACCGAGCCTGCGATTTTCCTGACGAATACATATCTATTCTGCAACCTCGGCATTAATTATTTAATGAATCACGTGACCAGGAGGGGGAAGGGGGTCTTTCGATTTCAGGCTCAAAGGACCACTATGACCTTCCCCTTCAGGAGGAGAAATTTTCCTGCAAAATAAGTTCCCCCCACCCGAAACCCACCAATGGAACAGTAGTGAAGTCTCCTTCTGTCTCCCACACTCACATTCATACCTACTATATCTGCAGCTCCCTAACCCCCCTGGACACACACTTACCCACAGCCCACCTCTCCTCTCTCCCTTCTCCTCCTGCTTCTGTTTAGTTCGTGGAGGTGCAGAAATAGTCTGCAGGGGCGTCTGGGGGGTGGGGGTGGGGTGGGCGCAGAGCCCTTCTCCAAGCCCCTGGATTTCTCAGCTTCCAGTTCTTCTCTCTGCATCCTTTAGGATTAAGATTCCTCCCCAACTCCATTTTCTCCCCACTCCCAGGGGTATTTATTTGAGTGGGACTCACTCCCTCTCTTCCTAAATAATGGACAAAATTCTGAAGGAGCCAGTTTGAAAAGAAACACTTCGTAAGTCCATGGTATAAGTGGATAAAGAGTGGGACTTCTGGCTTTATTCTCGTTTTGATCTTTTCTGGTGCCCTCTGAAGGGGCAAAAAAGGGACAGGATGAAGAGATTACTCTGGAGCTTCCAGAGTTGAGAATAATCGCAAGGGGGACTTATTTCCCCCCCCCCCCGTTATGTTGTCACTACTATATGAAATCAAATGCAACTGACCGTTTGAAAATAGATTCTAGAGACAAAGACCGGGACTAAGGTTTCTACACAAAAGAATAAGACCATCAGCCTCTCTCCACCTATGTCACACCCTGTCTCATTTCCCCTACTTCCCAAACACACCAGTGAAGACAGCTGGAGGTTTGAACAGGAGAACAGGGAAGAAGAAAAGCTTTGAAGTCAGCCTGGCAGCCCCAGGATCCCTATTTTCCAGGTGTTAGCACCCCAAGCTTCCAATCAACAAACAATGGAGGCTGATCTATGGGAAAAAGATGGGGAGGGGGGTGGCTGTGCCTGTTAAAGGGTTAAATACTAGGGACTATCTATCCCCTAGGCCTAAAGAGAGAGAGACACACAGACCTCTTCACCTCAAATATAAACAAAATAAAACAACCCCTGCCAAACTTGACCATTCTAGTTACAGGCAACTAGAATCCCAGTTCTCGGCCGGGGCATGGGGTGGGGGTGGGCATGCAAAGGGAAGCAGAAAAGACATTCCTAAAGAAGCCCCAGCCTTATCTGTCCTCAGCAGCTCTTGAGGCAGCCGGGACCACAGCCTCTGGGGCAGGCAGGGAATCCGGGAAGAATTAGCTTTAGGGTAGGGGAGCAGGGGACTGAGGGACCTCCACCGGCGTGTTTGGAGGGATCTAAACCAAAAGCAACTCAATGGAGAAAAGATTGAGGACCCAGTTGTCTTAATAAACCCTAAAGAAACAGTCACCGCAATGTCGGCCTCGGAGGTTCCAGCTACAGTGGCGGCTGCACAGCCTCTGCCCCAGCCAAACGCACTGGAATCTGCTCTGGCCTCATGGGGTCGGGGCGCCGGCTGGGCCCAGACTCTGTAGGGAGGTGGTCAGCTTTGATTGTCCAGATACAAAACACAGACTGGTATTGAATCCAGCCTGGTCCTGATGTGGGCCCCCGCTCCCGGCTCCAGCGAGGGCAACTCCCTGAAAGGTTCTGGCCACAAACCCATTAAAAAATGGTCCTCCAAAGAAAAACACTCTGCTAAAGTCTAAAATAAAAATAGGAGACAGAGAGAGAGGGGGGAGAGAGAAATGCTGGACATGGGAAGACAGCAGTCTCTAAAACGGAGAAATAATTTTTAAGGACAAGAAAAAGAACAGCAAAATGACACAAAGGCATGCCAGCAGGTTCTGTTAAATGACCACACTCTATTTGGATCCTGGGAATGTCCACATTCAAATAAACAAGCGCCTGAGCGTGAGCTGAGCACTTTCGTGCTGCCGATGAAGCGAACGTTTAGGCTGTGAGAAAGGCGAGATTGATTTACGAATCTGAACGCGCCAGTTTTATGGCTGATCACAAATCCGTCAGCGCTCAACTCACGCTGGGAAACTTCCCAACTCCGTTTTCCAACCAGACCCCCTTCCCAGCCGCCGCTTCCCAGGGAGACCCACCACCAGTGCTGGGGCTGCCTCCGAGAGCTCTGGCAGGACTGGGCAACCCCCTCTTCCTAGGACAGGCTGGTGGAAGTAGGAGGGAGAATGGGGAGGGCTGAGGGAACTGGGAAGAAAGGAGGGAAAGAAGTCAAAAGACTGGGCGGACTGGAGTGGCACTAGAATTGTCTGGAGTGAGGGAAATGGGAGATCTGGCAGTTTTAGCCTGTGAGGCTGAAAGTCCTTAGTGAACCCCAGCCTTCCCTGACTATGGTCCCTCTCCTTTTCCCTTTGGTGGGTCCTCATCCTCACATTGCAGAGAGCAGTTTGTAAAGTCCCAGGCAACCAGGTCTTTGTCACTTGGACCTATAGAGGGTTCACAACTGGCTGTCTGCCCTTATAGGTCATGAATGTACATCTCCCTGACCCCCAAATATTTTTAGTCCAGGTGCAGCCTAGCTTGCTTTCTGCTCATCCTCTTTCCTTCCTGAGGCCTCCAGCCCCTCAACTTATACCACCCAGGGACAAAGGAGAAAATATCAACCACTCCAGTTATTTCTTGCGTGAGATAGAGTCCCCAAATTTCAAGAAACAATTAATAAAATTCAAATCAACAGCCCACATAGCCTAGCTAGCTTCTGTCTCTCCTAGTCTCAACTGAAGGGGAACATTTCATCCTCCCAGCCAGCATCTATCTGTGTCTGTCTCTTTCATTTTGTCTCTGTCTCTCCCTAAGAGGGTGGCTGCTCGTGCGGATTTTTAAGATACAGCAAACAGAATACAGTTTTGGAAAGGCTCTATATACTGGGCAATCCTCCACCTATTTCTTAAAGGTTTCTGAAAACTTTGGCTAACGTGGGAGAGCAGGCCCTGGAAGGTGCTTTGAACAGTCTGCACTGATCCTTTTCCCATTTCCCTTGCTCCTCTTGGTGGGTGAGGCACTCCAAGGGCTCTTTTGGTTATTGAGGAGATTAGGAATTAGGGGAAAGAGGTAAAGGCGATGATAGAAATATCTTCCTAAACAAAGGAACTTCAGAAAATGGGTTAAGAGGCTGTGGATTTGGATGTCAGCCCTCAGAGAGATGACAGTCCCCAAAGCAATGTTCAAGGTGGAAGCCCTTTCTCTCCTCGAAGCTCTGGAGTTTATTTCTCTGACCCTCTGAAGCCTTGTGGATTGAGCTCCTCCAACCTCTCATATCTTCTCCCTTTGTCTTTCTTCCCTCAGTTCCCTCCAAGTGAAACAGTAAAGAGATGAACTGGACCTGGGAGTGGTGGGGGTAGGATGGCTGGAGCCTGGACTACCGAAGATGCTCTGTACAGAGAGACAGAATAGCACCCTACTTCCCTCCCCTGACTGCACCCATGGGCTAAAAACTTTTATGCCTTCCCCCCAGTGGACAGTAATAGAAAAATAACCCAAAAGTTCCAAAATCACAAAGATGGGCTTGGGGCCTAGAGGGGGATGGATTAGATGGGACGCATGACAGGCCAAGGACCCCTCCCTGCAGAGGTGTGACTCTCCTTCCTAGGCAGGAGGCAAGAACTAACACAATGTCCAGTCTCAGCGAGGTCAAGGGGCTTCCGAGGTCATTTTGTGGTTCTAAAACTGAGCTAATCACCTAGAAAACGTGGCCTCTCCATGAACTCTCCCTCCTGCCAGCGCCCCCTCTCCAAACCCTGAGTGAGGCCTCAGGGAAAAGGGCCAGCACATTCAGGTCGGCTGCAGAGTCCAGTGACTCCTTCAGCCTAAGAAACAGGGCTGCAGAGGTGAGAGAACAGAGACTCCAAATTAGGAGAGCAAAGGGAAACCAAACCGAACCAACATCGCTCCTCCAGGAAGAAGGCTGGGAGCACAGAGCAGAAGAGAAGCATTTCTGCATCAATGCACCTCGCCTGCGAACTGAGCAGTTTCCTGCTCCAGAGAGTAGCACATATTTGTCTAGAATCCCAAGCTAGACACAAGAAGAAAAAAAACCATATCTACTTATACCCGCTCCAAAGCTGGAACATTCCATCCAAGCGCTGGATTCAATTTTTCCAAGAGACAGCAGTGACAACGTCTCACCGGTAAACAGGCATAGGGGACACTAGTCCCCAGTGTAGACAAGCAGAGTAACCGGAACACCCTGACCACATGTGCACCTCACTAGACTCACCCATGCACACATGCTGGGGCTCGCTGTGCCTACATGCATTTTCCAAAACCAGAAAAGTACCTCTGAACTGCCTCACAAAACAAGCCTATTCTCTGAGGTTTTTCATGGGCCCTGACACCTCAGTCTCAACCAGTTCAAACACTCTCCAGGTGTTGAGGCCCCTCTCTCTCCCTCTGACCCAAGCATCCGTCATCATAAAAGGGAGCAAACCTGCCGAAGCATCCACCATAAAAACCCAGCCAAGAGAGTTAAAAAAGAAAAAGGAGGAGGCGAGAGAGTATTTCTTCTTCACTTGTGAAAAGAGCTCATAAAACAATCAAAAAACGCCAGCCCAGGCCAGGGCTTTGTTACCTTTGCGCCTCTCGCCTCCTCTCTCCCGAACTCCGCCGATCCCATTCATGACGAAGGGCTTCTTCCAAACTGAGAGAAAAAAGTTTTCAACTTTATGGTTCCAAATATTTTCCCCCTCGCAGATCCGGGAAAGACGGCTAACACTTTTTTCCCCCAACAGCCGGTCTGAGGAGATTTGCTGTTGAATAATAACAAAGGAGAGAGGATACGTATTTAAAGAAAAGAAGTGATTAATGGTTTTCTGTATAATTCTCACATTTTTCTTAGCTCTTGTCTGCACAGAATGGCTGTGAACTTTAAGCTCCATAGAAATCTTTTTTTCTTTTTTTTAAATTCTATTCATACCTTCCAAGGAGCAGCTTTGATTTGGCTCTTTAGAGACATTCCTTAGGGGGCATATGCTTTTTAAGAACTATCTTCCCCCTCAACTCAGGGCCGAGGCACTCTGGCAAGTAAAACATCACACCGCGATCCGACCAAATAAAGCTCTCCCCTCTCATCCTACAGGTCCACAGCGATTTTTCACGACTCTCTCAGCAGCATTGAAATGGATAGTTCAGCAGCCCTTTCTCGGCTGGGGACAACGACCTGTCGGTTCCCCCTGCCCTACCCAGCCTCCAACTACCAGAGCTGCAAACTGGAAGAATGCAAAATAAATAACAACAAAACGTGCGGGTGGATTGGTTCTTTTTATTTTCTGAAAGGAGATGGGACTGAAAAAATGACTTTTAATTGCATTATGTTCTCCTGAACGCCGAGCTTTTCGGAGATGGAGTGGCTGCACCCTGGACGACCAATGGACCAGAGACCCTGAGGCTGAAGCCCACAGACGTTTGAACTTCTAATCAGTGCCGCACAAAAGCAAATCCGAGCCTGACAGAGCTTCCGAGGGTGGCCTGTACCCCTTTCCCCTACCCCTATACTCCATTCCAGGGGTGACTGGGACCTCAGAGACAGAAAGCTATTTGGTCCCCAGTCATACTTTCAATACTTTCTATGAGAAAGAAAATGAAAATTAATACAGGAGCAAGGCTTCACAAAAGAGGCCATTTGTCTTCTTGATTATCTATTTGCTTGTCAGAGTTGAGCTATGGCACCGACTAGCTCCTTTGTAATATAAAAATACTCTGAAAACCTGCAAACACCCAGAAACATCTGTGCAAAAAATTAGACTCATTAAAGCCTTAAACACCTCAGAGGAAAGCAATACCTTCTTATGCTGTGAGGAAAGAGGCCGGCCTCATGGAATCCTCTCTCGGAACTTTAATAACCAAAGAGCCGTCTGTCTAGAAGGAGACAGCTTAACCGCATTTTATTTGCTTATGACAAATAAATCACGATATGAAAGGCTTTGCCATACTTAAACCTCTTGTGTCCTACAATGAAACATTTTCCCCCATTAGGGACTGGAATCAGCCCTCCCAGCCCTTTCAATCCATTTTTGGACTGAAGGGAAAAAATTAAAAGCCCCCAAAACAAAACACACCCACCCTAAAAGGACGACAAATGAGCTACCACAATTTGGAGTCCTCTGAGATAAAAATTCCCATCAGACTCTGAAAAAAAATCTTCAACCACATACAATGTGAGGCTGAACTCACCAGGGTGCTTAAAATATACACTGGGTGGCATCTGTCCATATCTTTACACCAATGTTTCAACAAAAACACGCTGTGCTGGTCACAAGAAACCAAACATTTATTTCTATTGTCACTCTGTACAGCACACAGATATTCACACATACGAAGGGTTCTAGACTCAAGCAGCCCCAGAGGTAGGAAGGGGCCTGGTGGAATGTCAGAAAGAGAAGAGGAGAGAGGACGAACATGACACAAAAAGAGTAATAATAATATTATCAATAATAATAATAAACGATGCAACATAATAAACTATGGGAGAGGGCTCTGCCACATCCCCCTCCCAGAGTGGGAGGGGCACATTTTATTTCCTAGTTTCACATTCCTTTTCAGTCTAGGAGAGAGGCCTCTGCTGTACAACTCTGGACTGGCAGAGTCAGGTCCAGCTCCCGGAACTCAACTGGCCCCTCACCCTGCCAGGTATGGCTTGGCTTGGCCTCCCTGAGGAAGGACCTCCGGGGTCTGCGAGTCTCTCTTTTTTTCCTTGGACTCAATTTTCCTACTCACTCCTGAGTTGTCAAGGCCACCCCCCTCCCCTACTTGTTCCCTTCCTCTGTTCCCCACCCCCAACCCCACGGTGAAAGTGGGTGAGCAGTCATTTTGTCCCTCCGTGAACAGGCACAGAGGATGAGGGAGCGTGTGTGTGTTTGTTACCGTGGCCAAAACAGTGCACTATCTGGCAGTCAGGGGTGCTTTCGCTGGGTATCGGGAGTGGGGGACAAAGAAAGGAAATCCAGGCTGTCTTCCAGCAGCGGCAGCAGCAGAGGCGGAGGCGACCGAGGGCCTCATTTGTTAGCGGGTGTCGAGGTAATGGTCGACACCGAGGCCCGTCCTCTCCTCGGCAGAGTAAACAAGACAGATGGGCCTGGGCCTGGCGTGATTAAAGATGAAACGTGGATCCATCTTCGCCAAAGCTGAAAACGAGGAGCTGCGGCCTCCTCCTATTTCTCTTTCTGTCTTTTTCTTTCTTCCTTCTTGCTTTTCCTTTTTTCTTTTTCTTTTTTTTTAAGGAAGAAAGCAAGAGATTTGAATCTTGCTTCTGGGGGGGCTCCCTATGGCCCTCTATTGTCATTTCTATAAATAAAGCTTCCCCTCCCCCTCTTCTGCGTCTATTCGCATATAAAGTGGGGGGAGGGCAGATAGGTTTTTCCGGGGCCTAGGCCCCGGGGCCCCCTCCCATCCCCCCACCCCATCCCACAGCGCTCGCTGCCCACCCCCACCCCAAGGTTCATGGCTCCTGCGTGGGGGGGCACTAGAGCACGGGGGTGGGGGGGCCTCAATTGGGCCGGCCAGGGGGCCCTCCGGCTGAGCTTGCCGCGCCACCCGAGCGGATCTTGGTGTTGGGCAACTTGTGGTCTTTTTTCCACTTCATGCGCCGGTTCTGGAACCAGATCTTGATCTGGCGCTCAGAGAGGCAGAGCGCGTGGGCGATCTCCACCCTCCGGCGCCGCGTCAGGTAGCGGTTGTAGTGAAATTCCTTCTCCAGCTCCAAGACCTGCTGGCGAGTATAGGCGGTCCGAGAGCGCTTGGGCTCCCCGCCTGCGTAATTGGGGTTTACTGGACACACACAGAGAGAGGGAGAAAGAGAAAGTTTTATTGCCCCAGAAAGGAAGAGCCCTTTCTTCCAGAGAACACAGTGTTTCCCTCCCTCCCTCTCCTGCCACCTCTAGTTCCTTCAGAGGGAGAGGAAAAAAAAGAAAAGGGGAAAGAATGCAAGACCCAAGAATGAGACAGAGACCTCCAAGTTTTGGAGAGGTGTGCTGTGTCCTTGTTGCTTGGGTGTCTGGTGCTGGTGGTGTGTGTGTGTGTGTGTGTGCGTGCGAGGACTCCCCCGAGGTTTTAATTGTTCCTCTCTCTCCCTCAGCTTGGGGCCCCCAGAATGGGAGAATGAGGATGTGGAAGAGGGAGGGGTGGTTTCTCTAAACCTTTCCTCTGTTTAGTTCCCACCCCTGCCGCTCAGATTCCAAGCAGTGCCTGCCCCTACTAAAAACTTTTGCCCACTTCTCCAGCCAAGGAGTCAGACTACAAGAAAGGAAAAAAAAAAATACTGGGAGTTGACTCGACTCTCTGCTTAAATACACATTACCTCCTCCTCCTTTTCCTCCTCCACCTCCTATACTCCTCCCCAACTTCCAACTTCACTGAGACTGTATCTCCCTGGCGAAAAAGTCGCTGGTGAGAATGGTGAAGAGGATGGGGGACCTACTTCAAAGTCGCAGGGCCCACCAGGCCATAAAAATTTATGGGGGATGTAATTATGTGGCTCTGAAAACAGGCGACCGTAAATCTCTGGCAATGGCGAGTTTATAGCGGGGACAATTGGCTTCCCCAGCTCACCCCCCCCCCCCATGCCTCCGAGGTCCCTTCGGTGTAAAGCTCCAGGGGTGGGAGGGGGAAGGGGTGCCCATGCACTCACCCGTGCTCACGTGAACTTTGCGCATCCAGGGATAGACGACGGGCTCTTTGCACGCGGAGTGGGACGGGCTGGGGTTCAGGGGATTCTGGGCGCAGGGAGGCGGCGGGGGGCTGCTGCTGACCGCCTCGCAGCGCTGGCTGGGCTCCGTGAGGAGGGCGCCGGCGGGTGGCGGCACGGGAGCCCGAGGGGACAGCCCGGGCGGTGGCGGGGGCGGCGGGGGTGGTGGCGGAGGCGGCGGGGGCCCAGGGTCCAGGCAGGCCGCGTAGCGCTGCACCGTGCACGCCGCGCGCCTCCCGAAGCCCGCCTCCGGCTGGAAGCTGCTCTCTCGCCTCTGGCCGCCGGCGTAGTACCCGGGCGAGTGGTCGCTGGGTAGGTAATCGTTCTGTGAATATTCCTCGCATGGAGGGAACTTGGGGTCGACATAGTTTGAGTTGATCAGAAAAGAACTCATAGCCATTAATTTCTGGGAATTGCCCACAAAATATACTAAAATTTATTCCGACCCCTGACTCGTTTTCCTGTTTCCGAAAGCCCTCCTACTTACTGTCAAGTGAACAAAGTTAGGCGCCCACGTGATCCTCCGAGCCAATGGCCGCCCCGCCTGCGATTCCCGGATAAGGAAATCTGCTCACCCGGACCCTACTCCAGCCAAAGAGGTTTATTTCCCCTTCTTCTCTTCCCCCTCCCCACCCACCCATCCAACAGCAAGATTTACATAGGGCTCCGGCGGGGCGACCCCCTCCTTGCCTCGCTCTCTCCGGGATCGGAGAGATTGAGAGAGAGCGTGCGCAGGTTGCGACTGGAGGGCCTGTTGGGCGCTAGGCAGAGCGCAAACCCTAGATCCCTTAAGAAGTTGGGGCACCCAGTGTAGCCCCTCCTGTTCTACCTCACCTCTGTCCAGCATTCTCTACCTTTTGCAGGCCCCTATCTCCTCCCCACGGCAGAAGGGAGCCCTTGCACCCTTCGTCTATATGGGGAGTTATGTCATTGGCGGGCTGGGGGCTAAGTCTCGAAAGGGGAACCCGTACGGGGGCCAGAACACAGAGCTTGGGGCTTTTCTCTGCAGCCGATGGGGAGGGGTAGGGGTGAGAGAGGAGGCGTCCAGAGCTAGAGGGCGGGTGCGCA